CTTTGCCTCTCCCCCCTGCTCCTGCTCTTGCTTTCTCTGTATCTCTCTGTCTCAAATGAATAAATAAAATCTTTTAAAATAATAATAATAAAGTGTGTTTCTTGGGGAGCCTGGGTGGCTCAGTCAGTTGAGTCCGCCTTTGGCTCAGGTCATGATCTCAGGGTGCTGGAATCAAGCCCCAAGTTGGGCTCTCTGCTCAGCGAGGAGTCTGCTTCTCCCTCTGTGCTCTCCCTCTCTCTCTCTCTCAAATAAATAAATAATCGTAAAAAAAAAAGTGTATTTCTTGTCAGCAACAGAGAAGCAGGTTTTTGGTTTTTGATACAAACAGAAAAATCTGTTTTTTAAGTGGTGAGTTTATTGTGATGTGTCCAGTAATTATCAATATATGTGTATTTATTTCTGCCATTTTATTTTGTACCTTTTATTTACCTTGCTTTTTCTCCTGTCCTTCCTTTTATATACTTAATGAGTTTCCATTCTTCCCTTTTTCCCCTCTACTCTTGGCTTCTAAGCTCTATATTCACTGTCTTTTATTTAATGGCCATATATTGTTCTCATCAAATAATTTAGAACCAAGTTGTTTACAGCCTCCCGAAAGTGAGCCATGGCTTCCTTTAATTACATGCACACTTGTCACTTCCTTTCGTCACCATTCCTAGTTCTTTCATCTCACTCCTCCCATTGGGGCTCAGTTAACTGCTCTTAAAGTACATCGTTTAATAGTTGTTTCAGTGAATATGTGTTGGTAATGTTTAGGTCTTTAATGTCTGAAATTTTTTAATCTTGCTCTCATTCTTGAAGTATGGTTTAACTGGGTCTAGAATTCCACCTGGATAGTCCTTCTTCTCAGTGCTTTGAGGTCTTTCCCGCTGCCTTTGCTGTAGACCGCTGCTGTGAAACATCTATTATCAGTTCATTGTTGTCCCCTTCTAGTAAACTGTTTTTGCTTCCTAGTATTTTAGAGACCTTCTCTTTGATTTTACCATTTGCAGTTTTACTATTTTGTGTGTGGGTGGTGTTTTGTTTTGTTTTTTTGTCTTCGTTGGGATGCATTATTCTTCCCAAATCTGAAAATGCTAGTATTTAATCAGTTCTGAAAATTTTCTGCTGTTTTCTCACTGAGTATTGCTTCTCCTCATTCTCTCCATTCTCTATTTTAGGAACTCAATTTATAAATATTATGTGTTAGTTATTTTCCTTTTCCATCTGTCTTAACCTTTCTTTCATGTTATCTGTCTCCATCTCCCTATGTTTTATTCTTCAATGAATAAATTCTGTAATTTTCTTAGTTCTAGCTTCCAGTTCACTCCATTGTCTTCAGACAAGATTATTCTATTTGATACTTCCATTAAGATCTTAATAATATTGGGACACCTGGGTGGCTCAATCGGTTAAGCATCTGCCTTCAGCTCAGGTCATGATCTCAGGGTCCTGGGACCGAGCCCTGCATCGGTCTCCCTTCTCAGCTGGGAGCCTGCTTCTCCCTCTCCATCTGCCTGACCTCCAGGGGGAACCTCCATTCCCCCTGCTTGTGCTCTCTCACTTTCTCTGTCAAATAAGTAAGTAAAATCTTTAAAAAAAAAAAAGGGGGGGGTATCTTAATAATATTGACTATACTTTTCATGTCTTGACATTCTTTTGTTTTATCTCAGATATACTTGATATTTTTTTTAAAGATTTTTATTTATTGAGAGAGAGAGAGAATGGTAGAGAGAGAGCATGAGAGGGAAGAAGGTAGAGGGAGAGGCAGACTCCCTGCTGAGCAGGGAGCCCGATGCGGTACTCGATCCTGGGACTCCAGGATCATGACCTGAGCCGAAGGCAGTCGCTTAACCAACTGAGCCACCCAGGCACCCAGTATACTTGATATTTTTTAATAGTGGCTTTAAAAATATATTTTCACGTCGTTATACATGTTCATATTTTATAATCTTTTTCTAGTAATATACTATTTGAAGTTTATGGAATTCTAATCCTTCATTTCAGTGGACGATATCCTAATGTGTTTTGTAATTTTGAATTGTAAATTTACTTTGATTATAACTTTGTCTCCAGGAACACTGAACAGCCAAAGTTGAGGGTACATCTTCTATAGAAGTTTGTTTGCTTCTCCAGAGATACCTTTAGTATCATTGATCCTGGACCATTTTTATACTATTTTCTAAGCTTGGGTATTTCTGACTAATTGTGATAGTATAAATTCAATCCAAAATCCACATGAGGCATCAGCCCATGGTTAGAGATTCTTCAGGGAAGACTTTACCTCTCCCATGTAGAGGCCAGGATGAGACAAACATTCTTTCTTGATGTATTCCTATGTTGATGAGTGACTTTTATTAATGGCTTAGCTCTTTAGAGTCCTTACTTTATTCCTGAGTATCTCACTTTTCTTGTCACTAGCCTTTAAAATGTGCCTGACTCATCTCTTGTTCCCTCTTGGTGTTTAAAGGTCAAAGTTACCAAAAAGAAACCTCTCATCACTCCTCCTTTGCCCACTACCCAAAGCTATGTCAGTACACATGCTGGTGGCACTTGTTTTCATTTCTCTTCATTTTTGTTCCCTGAGACTTACCTCTATTTCTTGCCCACATAGCTGTTTTAAAAGTTGGGTTTTTTAGCTAGGTATTTTATAGCCAGAGGCCTTAGTTTGTCTGGTCACCCGTACTGTTCTCAGTGGAAGTTATGTGTGGTTCATTTATTTTGTTTTTCTCTGTGTTCCTAGGTTCTATTTGCATGATAGTTGAACACTGTTCAGTTTTTTTCATAACGTGAATATACCCAGATTTTTATATTTGGAAATGTTTATAAGGTTCATCTTATGTCATTAGGTAAAAAGCAAGCTGCAGAATGATATGTATTATATACTTCCATCTATATAAAGACAAATATTTGAGAAACTGAAAGTAATTCAGTTGGGTGGAACATGGGGTTATGCAGAGGACCAGAGGAAAGGAAAGGTAAATACAGCAAGCTATGAAGTTGGGGTAAAAGGCATATGTCACATCATAAGGTACTTCATTTGCCAAGGTAAGATATTTGGCCTTACTATTTAGGCAGTATTAAATCATAGGTAACATGATCAGAGCCATTTGTAAGAAAGCCAACTTAGATTGCCAAAGTAAACATAGGTAAGCCAATTAGTTTACTGGTGATGTAGTTTGGTTAAGAACTGAAGACTGTAGAAATGAGAACAAATGACAAAAACCCAAGAGGTATTGATGAGGCAGTAGGGGATGAGGGGAAGGGAAAGGGGGAAAGTCTTAGTTATCCTTGGGCCATAGAAATTAGGGAAATGAACTGATCTAAGATGCCTGCCTGGTGGCTTTGATGATGAGGTAGTAGAATAGATATTCCCTTGTGAACACTATTTGACTTGCCATTGGTACATCTAATTGAAGAGGAACAGTAGATATATGAATGATGTCTATGCACTCAGGAAAGGTTGAGGGCTGGAGATTAACAACAACAACAACAAACACATTGGAGGATGATAGCATATAGTAGAGATGAGAGCTGAAGTGTTAACAGTAAGTGCAATTGCCCAGGGATGACATATAGAGCAAGAGAATATATAACCAAGGGCAAAACTTTGATGAATGCCCACATGCAAAGAACAAATAGAAATCTAAAAAGTAACCGTCAAAGTTAAGAAGTGAACCAGGAAGTTTTATGGAGGCCAATGAAAAAGGATTCCATTATTTTTTTTTTTTAATTAAGTCAATAGTGACATGCAGTGAAGTCAAGAAAAACAATACTTTGGATTTGACAACTAGAAGGTCATTGTTAGCCTTTGCCTGGGCATAGTTAGTAGAGAAAAAGAGAGCAAAACTCCTAATTTAATGATTTTAGAAGTAAATGGGGGGCTAAATTTGGGTGATAAAAACCTTTTGTGATAAATTTTTTCATTTTGAAAGGAAGGAGATGAGTTAGTAGCTAGAGAGACTCATGATCAAGAGGGAGGTGGAGATGTTTTGGTTTTTTTATGGAGAAATTTTTAGGATTTACTTAACCAACTTCAGTCATGTTTATTAAGTAAATTTAGGGTCCAGAGGAGGGGGAAGGGTTGAAAATTTAAGAGAAAGTATATGTGATTGAGCACGCTTCCAGAAGAGAAAGAGTAGATAAGATAATTTGAAGAGTCACGTGTTCTTGAGAAAAACAACAGGATGTGAAGGTAGATGAGGTTCAGGGAGTCAGCGGTTTTTTTTTTTTTCTGGTATAGGAATCAAGATCATCTGCTGGTTCTGCAATCAGCAATAGTAACACATTGTAGGGGACTTGCCAGGGGTGAAGGTTTGAAATAGTCACAGAGATGACAGGACAGGGAGTGATAGATAACTAGGAATAATTAAAAGAATTGATCAGTAACACTGAAAGCCTCATCAAAGTAAGTGACCCACATTTTTCCATGACACCATTTTTTATGGTAGTACGATTTTGTTGATTTGTTTTAATCTTTATGTCAGCGGTATTTAGTATCCTGGACATGAAGGATAGAATGTCCATCTTGAGTGACTGTGGGAATAGCAGAAGCAAGAGGAAAGCAGTGTGGGGAAAACCCCCACATTGTTTAGGTGCTATGGAGGGGTGGTTACAGTAGTATCACTGCTAAGCCAACACAAGTGAAGAGCCACAGTTTTTCAAAAAAGTATATTCATCTAGGACTGGGCAAAAATAAATGAAGGAGAATAAAAACTTAACACTTGGTCATTTTTTCCCCCAATTCTACACTAGAGCGTTATCACATAACTCATTTCAAGCACCGTGGCTTACTGATTAACAATTCTCAACAAAGGGGACTTGTAGTTAGAAGTCCCACTGGTAGGTGTGGGGACTGAGTATCAAGATAGCAGAGACCAAAGAAGATGAGGGAAGAGAACAAATTGTTGAGGCTGCATACATACTATTTTGATTATGTTCCTTAACTCTTCAAATAAATGCTCTTGAGGACGATACTGCATAAGTAATTAATTTTTTTGCATTTTTTGTTTGTTTTTAAGGCTTTCTGTGAAACTTTAGAAGAGACAAACTACCGTTTTCAAAAAGAACTACTTGAAAAACAGAAAGAGGTGGACTCACTGAAGAAACTGCTAAATGAAAAGCAACTTCATATAGAAACTCTAGAAAGCAGAATCAGGTATATTGTGATACTTGCATTTTTAGACTTACTCATTAAACTCTTACTACTCTGGGCTAAATGCCCTTTGCATTTTAATATGACTTAGGAAATTTCCAATTCCAAAAGTCTTAGACTCTTGGTGTACCTTTTTTGTAGATTAGGAAAATTGCCTTTTGATGATTTATTTAGAAGGTTGAACATTTGAAGGATAGGAAACATCAGAAATATAAGCCTCTAGCTGTTCAAGATAAACATTATTCATTTTAACCTGTTTAAATGGTATCTTTGTTTCTAGGCATTTCTGCCAACTTTTCACATATGAAAGTTGTAGTTTACATTCTTGTCAGCATACATTGAATTGATATTAAAATCATTTTACATTAATCATAAGTACTAATTTCTCTGCTGACTCCCAGAGTCAGCAATCTATTAGCCATATTAAGAATAGCTAGACTACTAAAGTTACATGTATTCACAAAAATAAACCAATACATACTTTATTTGTAGAAAATAACTTGTTACTCTAATTTGCTTTTAGAACATTGTCTTTAGAACCTGAAGAATCACTGCACGTGTCAGAAACAGAAGGTGGACACATCCCAAAGGTGGAGTCCTCCACACTTGAGGTTGATCAAGATGTTTTGCATGAAGAATCTAGGTAAATAATATTTGGTTTATTATAGCCTAATCATCTGAATAATTAGAGGAAAATAGTCAATAACACTCTAGAGAGTATTTTTTTGTGTGAACTCAGTGTTATTCTATCGTGAATCTGCTGAGCAAATAAAGACCATAGATATTGTAGGCTCTCCCTAAAAATGAGTCCTTGTTATCTAGGCTGTAAACATTATTACTTACTTTGAAGATATGTCTAAATTAAGCATTCAGTTAATTCCTTAATTTTGTAAAGCTTGACAAATTAATCTCCCTCAGTCTTTTTCCATTCAAAAAGTAGGATAGTGTAATAGCAACAAGCCTGCCTACCTAACAGGAATGATGAAAAGGTAGTATATTTGAAAGCACATAGAATATTTATTACCTATAAATCCAAAGTCATTATTAATACTTTAGTGGTAGCAGCTAAGCTATAATTATGAGAACAGATTTATGTTGGTAAAGGTCATTATAAACTGGATTTTTAGTGATAAATGGTAGTTGGGAGAGCTGAAAGAGTTAAAAATATATCTTCAAAGGTGTTGTCTGGTAATGACAACTTAAAAATATAAAATTTCTTGGAGCGCCTGGGTGGCTCAGTCGGTTAAGCGGCTGCTTTTGGCTCGGGTCATGATCCCGGGGTCCTGGGATCAAGCCCCGTGTTGGGCTCCCTTCTCAGTGGGGAGCCTGCTTCTCCCTCTCCCGCTCCCCCTACTTGTTGTCTCTCTCTCTCTGTCAAATAAATAAATAAAATCGTTAAAAATATCTATATAGGGGCGCCTGGGTGGCTCAGTTGGTTAAGCGGCTGCCTTCGGCTCAGGTCATGATCCTGGGGTCCTGGGATCGAGCCCCACGTCTGGCTCCCTGCTCAGCGGAGGGCCTGCTTCTCCCTCTCCCTCTGCCTGCCACTCTGCCTACTTGTGCTATCTCTTTATCTCTCTGTCAAATAAATAAAAAAATAAAATAAAATAAAAATATATAAAATTTCTGATCAAATATTTAAATATTCTTTTCCATTAAATATTTTCCCATTAATATTTAAATAATCTCTACATTAGATTAAAAAATTTTAAAGGTAATAGCGAAGTGAAATAGCATGTATCTTATCTCTTCATTGACATCTTTCTCTTTTCTTGCAGAACTGATGATAAGCCATGCTTAAGTTTTAGTGAAACTGAAAATTCTGTATCGGACATAGAAGTTGCAGAAGTGGCATACAATGCAGAAGACTAATACATGACAAGCAGTTCCTTCCATGTATATGTTTAAGCAAATTTAGAATAGAGTGGCAAATATTTAAAAAGAAAAAAGACTGAAGCATTTACAGAAAACAGAAAGATTGCACATGTATTAAAGTTTACATAAAGAAAAGTTTTTTTAAGTTATTGGGATAGAAATGTATTCACTGCTGCTTTAAATTGTCTTTTATCCAACCTTTGTATTTAATACACTAAAAAAAAAAATCTAGAGTTGTTATCAAGACTCAATTCTTAAATAATGTGCATAAGTTATTTTGGTGTTTTGCCGTATATTGCTCCAAACGAATATGTGTGTGAGCCCTCTTGTGTGTGGTGTGCGTGTTTGTGTTTGTGTTTAAAATGCCAATTTTATCAGTTAAATGGACATTAAATGCATGTTACTATCTGGTTGATATATACTTCTTTGTATCAATGTATTTTCATTAGTGGTTTAAATCAGTGGTAAAGATGAATTAAGTTTTAAATATTGACACGTTTACCATTTGTAAATAAAAATTGCCTGTTTGCAATGTTATTGCTATTTAAAAAAAAGAAAACTTTCTAATACCAAAGGAAAACTATTACAGAGAGCTATAGTAACATATAATAATGTAGCTAAAGTGATAAAATAGCCTTGTTTTTAAAAGCTGATTCATTATCAGAGTGCTATAGTGTCTAGTTTATTATAATATGTTGTACTTGTTTATTTTCCACATATCTTTATCTCAAATCTCTACTTGTAGAATCAGTGAGTTGTCCTCTTTTGGAATACTACCTCTTTTTGCTAATCAAGGTATACTCTTTTGAAAATAAAGATTCTAAGCAAATAGGGAGTTATACAAAAAAATACAAAATAAAAAGCCATATATACTATAAAGTTCCTTAACTACATTGACTCCTGGGATTGCATTTTTATTTCTGTATATGTGACTATGTTGCTATAATGTATTAAGGCTGATTTTCCTTTTAATATATTTAGCCAAGTGATGCACTTTATGATAATTAAACTCCTTTGTGCCAAGTTTAATTGGTGAATTTCTTTAGTAAGTGGAGTTAAGAAAAGAATTATGTAGTGCCTTCACTATTTCACTTTTATACCAGTCTGCTAGGGTCTGTGAGTCAGCTTTATGAAAAAGTGTTTATTTCAGATTTGCTTATATTTGTTGAAAGTGCCTTGTTTCATTTTTACTATATGAAGTTACTCATTTATTTTCTGTTTCCACTGCTTTGCATATTGCTGTTAATAAGTGTTGTTATCCTACTAGCATTTTGAAATCCCGGTTGGTATATTGAACTGCATGTGCTTTCTAAAAGCTGAGGGAAACTTATTGGGAAAATAGAATAACAGTCTCCAGTTTTGTTTTCTTCACTATCTAAAAGTTTATCAGTATCTTGATGTACATATTAAAATGTAGTTAAAATTCTATTTATGTAGATAAGAAGATCAAGTGGCTGTTGTCAACTTTTGATCTAAAAAGGAAACTGCTTCTTACCAAAGTACCAAAAATTTTAAAAGCCTTTGTCAAAGTGCACATGTTCTCAGAGTATTTTCCACAAAGTATACTACAAGTGTGTTTACTATCCTGGAGATAGGAAGAATATAATAAACTATTCTCTTTGTTCATTTCAAAATATTCTAGACTTAAAAAGGCTTACAAAGAACAATCATTTAAATTAATATAATTTTTAGTCTAATGACAAGATGATATTTGCTAAATTCCAGATATTATAGTGCTACGTACATGTCTGTTTTAAAGTGAACCATACACTTTCAAAATCTGTCCTTTCAGAAGATTGTATGTAAAGTTTGGGATGGGTGAAGAAAACCTCTTGTTAATTAAATAAACCACTATTTATATTTAGAATTTACTTTTTTTACTTTTATGAGGCATTTTATTCCCAGTACTATATTCATTTAATAAATTATTTTTTCAGTGTAGCAGTAGCTGTGTTGTTTAGATCTTGAATATCATTTTTCCCTTCAATTTCAGTGTTCTCTCTATCCCTTATAATTATTGTAAATTTCATTGTACTTAACTGCATTTCACAGATGTGGAATGACTTTATGATTTTTTTTTAGGTTTACATTTTATATTACTGATCATTTTAAGTCTTTGTGAATAGGTGCAGTGTACTTCAAATGTAACCAAAATTAATAAAAAGAATTGAACATAATTCAAACAGGAAACACTTTTGTGAATAATCTTTTAACTTAACCTTTTAAAAATTAAGTTCATGTGTAGGTAGTAAAACCATAAACCAGCATTTTAAAATGTGCTTTATTTGTCTACTATTCTGAGAGTAGACATTTAAAGCACATTTATTTAGAAAACCCTGTTCCTCAGATAAACAGTCTATGTAGTCTACTTCAACTATTTGTGATATTAGAAGGGAACAGTGGTCTTAGGTTTAAAAATAATTTGTGTAGTTTTGAAATGGGTTTTCTTACAGGAATAGAGGAGTTTGAGGATTATGTTAAAAACAAGTCTGTATTCTCAACCAGTAAAGAGAGGAATCTAAATTGTATCCTCTGGGAGATTTTCAAAGAGCTACATATTTGATCCACATTTTAGTTCTTCCAAAAGATAATAGAATTATGTTTACTGCATTGCACTTTGCTTCTGTGTGGTTCGCTTCTACTAGCAAAACAATCATCAGAACTTGGATTTTCAACACATGGGTTTTTAAGCTGCTATACCACACTGTGCCCTTTATGAGGACTCATGAGAGAAAATTCTCTTAGGTTTCAGCAGCAGGAAAACCAGTGCTTTTCTTAGAGAATTGATTTGTTTTTATCTTAAAGACTCTATTACTGTCTTTCTCTTTTTTGATTTGTTTTTTTGGGCAGCCTTAAGCCAAATTGTAGTTTGCCTGTAGCTTCCATATGGAACCTTAGGAGTTGTACTTTTGTGTAGTAAACATGACTTTATTTTTCTTATTTTCTCAACCCCAATTTTCCTCCCTATTTAAGGTCTTCAATTAGAACAGATGTATTTTTGTTCTGATAAGGTCTCAGAATTGAATGATATTTTAGACTACATTAGGTAAGAACTTGTCAAGGCCTGTACTAACACAATTACTGCACCATTAAGGATGGCAGTAATAACACAAAGCTAAATTATTCTTCCTTTAAAAGATGTTCTTAAGTAGGACCAGTGAATATGGAATGCAAACTTAGAAACGCTAGCTAGTGGTAAGCTATGTTCTTGGGCAAAACACAATATTGATAAACTCTGTTTATGGTTTTAACCATAGCCTCAAATTAGAAGACCCCACTTACCACTTCCCTGTGTATCACTTACAGAAAAGTACAATAATGTCATTAGCTCCACACAAAACAATAATAATACGGCTAATGGATACTCAATAGCTGAAGTTAGTGTTTTATTGTAATAGATACAGATAAGACTTGGTATAGACTTTGCTCTAATGAAATGTTTGCAACCTGGCTAATTGTAACCAAAGAAGTATTAGTGAAATGCTGGCTAAAGTTCTTTCCTAACCTGTGAAATGAAAAGCCCACCTTGGAGTGATTAAGCCCATATCTGGAGGATTATTAGTATTAGCTCATCTGCCAGTCCAGTTTTCCAGTAACCCTTTATAGCAAATAACCACCATTCATTGACTAACCCAAAAGTTTCTTTACCCCCTCCAAAATAGGAATGTGATAAACCAAATAAGTTATTTTTCTCAGCTCCCCTTGCAACTAGGTCTGAGACTGTGACACGATTATGGCCAGTGAGATGGATAGAAGTATGCTGATAGCTTCTGCGAAATCACTCGCTTTTCCTGTAAGAGGGTAAGTTTGCTGCTCTTACAGCCTCTCCCCCTTCCTCTTGTTTTGATCTCAGGTAATGTGCAGAAGTACTCTGGAAACCATCTTGCAAATAGGTTGTGTGACGAGTATGAGGGAAGAGCAAGGGACTCAGAGACTAGCCACTTGTAAAACCACTAAAAAAAATTTTTTGTTGTTAATTGTACCAAGATAAATTAAAAATAAACATAATTTTTAATTTGAATTATAGGTTTAACCTTAGGGGTAAAATGCTTTTCAAACAAAAACACTTCTACCTGTGATGATATTGTATATTTTGTTAGTAAAGAAAAATAATCAAAGGAGAAACACTTTTTTTCTAGAAAGCTAAAAGAGAACCATCTATTAGACATATCAAAGATCGCTTACCAACAGAAATTTATTTTCTCACAACTCTTGAGGCTGAGTGCCAAGATCAAGGTACCAGCAGAGTTGGTGTCTGGTGAGGACACTCTGGGTTGCAGAGAACAAGCTCTCTGGTATCTCTCATAAGGACATTAGTCCTGTTGGATCAGGACCCCACCTTTAGATCTCATTTAACCTTAATCACTTCCTTGGAGGCCCCATTTCCAAATACATTCACACGAGGGGGTTAGGGCTTCAACATATGAATTTGAGGGGGGCACAAACATTCACGTAACAGTATAGGATAGATCATCATTTAAATGCTTACAAAGATATTTCTCGGTTCAAAAGATTAGATAGCCTGTTCTTTCATTTGTCCATTGAACAAACATTGACCATCTACCATGTGTCAGCCCTGGGTTATAAAAATTGTTAAGAAGCACATGAGCCCTTCAAGGAGTTCAGACCAATACAGCTTTTTATACAGGCTGGTCTGTACATTGTGCAGCATTGTGGCAAGTGTGGTGGTAATTGTGGTATTTGTGATGAATTACGGGAATGAGAAGGCTGGAAAGAAGGGCAGATATTGGTCAGCAGTAGAAGTGTAGAGCTTCAGCTGCTGCTTAAAAGTAGAAAGGCATGCCAAGCAGAAGAGTCCGCTTCAGCCTGTGCAAGTGGCAAGGATCATTATTCTCCCTAATTCTTTTTCCCCGGTCCAATATATCAATTCTAGCTCCAAAGTAGAAGCCCGCTTCCCGGCTGTGATAGGCCGAAGAGGGACGCAGGAACCACACTGCATACCTTAAACACTTTAACTTAATGCACATATATTCATTTGCCAAAGCTCAAATGGAGATACAAAGCCCTTCTTTGGCATGGTTTTACTGAGGAGTGCTTCTGATTTTCTCTCTTGCTAAGCCATATCCCTAATTCATTTTCCGATTCCTAGCTTTAGTTTCTGTACAGTGAAGGCATAAGATGTGTATGAAGGAATCTGTGGCAGAAGGCACAATTTTTACCATTTTTTTCTCAATCCTTTACTGCTATCTTGCCTACATTTTTACCAAGTCTTTCCAAACTGACCTAGTTTTCCCTAGAATTGATCATTTGTTCTCATATTTCATTGTTTTATATAATATTAATAACCTTATTTAAAATTTAATTTTAGGGGTGCCTGAGTGGCTCAGTCAGTTAAGCGTCTGCCTTTGGCTCAGGTCATGATCTCAGTGTCCTGGGATAGAGTCCTGCATCGGGCTCCCTGCTCAGCGGGGAGTCTGCTTCTCCCTCTCCTTCTGCCCCTCTCCCTTGTGTGCCCTCTTTCTCTCTCTCTGTCTCAAATAAATAAAATCTTAAAAATAAAATAAGCTAAAATTTAATTTTAAATATAGCTAGTATGCACAAATTTGGAAGCCAGCTGGTGCTTGGAAATCACACAGTTCTCCTGGGAAGAAAGAGGAGTGTGCAGGTGTTCTAAGAAGAAACCAACTAGCCACAAGCATTCAGGGTGTCCTGGGTGTCAGCACATTTTATACAGAAGATGCCGAACTTCAGCAGGTCAGTTATGAATTGATCACCAGGATCTCCCTTCCCTGCATCCACCTTCCCCCCACTATAATCCAGTCTCCCATGGCAGCCATGGTTTTCTTTTTGAAAAACATAAATCACAGCATTTTTTTCTCT